GTAGGCCCAGGCAACAAGTAAGCCTGAGAGCATTGTTCTCGTTTAGTACCGCCGGCCACAAATTCAGGCTTCTGCAGAGCTCGCGACACGTGCGGAACCATCTGTAGCTCAGTGACTAAAAGGCAACTGGAGGCTCTGAAGCACGCCAGGGAAAACTCCTCAAAGCCGGAAGCTGTACAATCCGGTACTTGGGGTTGAGGCTGGAGTTTGAAGCGCAGTTAGGCTTGCGGCAAGCGGTAGCTGATGTAGAGTGCAGGCAGCGCTACGTCCTTCAAACAAAACTGCTGCCGATCATTGCAAAACTCAAACAAATACTTCCTAATCGACTGTCCAGGCTGCTATGAGTAGCGAAAGGAGTTGATCTAGGAAAGAAGCTACGAAGATGGAAGGGGTCGAGTGTGTGCAAGCAACTACGACGATCGAAAAAAGCAGTCTATCGAACCAGCCAGCAAGACCCATCCATGGTACTTCAGAACTTCAGAGTTGGCGAACTGTACACTGTAGACTCAGCCACGCCTGAGCGATCAAAAGTAGAGCCGGATGCTCCGGAGCATCGTCATGTCACGTCAGCCACACGACCTCGCCAGAAGCTGCCACTACATACAGCCGCCCCGGGCGCGCCGAAGTGCTGACTTGTACCTGTGTGCGCAGGACTACCGAGGGCATGCGATCGAGGGATCTGGGGACAAAAGATTTTGCAGACACGACGATGTCGAGCACGAGACTCCCGGGCAGGTGCAACTGCAGGGCTACAAGACCCGCAACACATCCGGCAACGGAACAGCAGAATCTCACGTCCTGCATAGGTGGCTACGACCAAAAGGCGCCAAAGTAGAACTTGGAAGCCTGGAAATTCTATCCGTCCAGGCCGGCAACCAGAGAACGACCGCCGCCGAGGGCGGGCGCCGCAAACCGCAAACCGGAGACACAACCCTACACCCAAAGGCTCCAAGTACGCTTGTAGTGGATATTTGGACCTGAAAGTACCGTCGTAGGAACCCCCGCAAAGCTTAGGAAGCATTTACTAATTTACTGCATGGGCCATGGGCCCGTAAAGCCTGAGGAGCACGGAACCCTTGCGATACGCTCGGAGCATATGCACGGCCCAGCGACGGCGGCCGGACGTGGCGCTGGAGCCGCGACAGCTGGCGCAGCCGGCAGCGCGAGTGGAGTCGCGGGCGGCGGGACCGCCTTCGCCAGGGCCGCAGAAGTGAAGCTATGGCTGCTTCTAAGATACAACCTGCACCCGCAGCACTAGGCGACTCGCTC